GTAACTCATCCCAGGGTTTCTCTGTCCGGCTGAGTGCACGCTCACATGAAAGGGGCGGGGTTAGCAACATTTGACCAATCACAAACATGGACAAGCGTTCTGACAGCGCAGCGTCATACTTCATGAATTAAAAGTAAACTATCATGTTAGACCAGTGGTTCTCAACCTGTGGTACGCGTACCACTGGTGGTACGCCAGCTCCCGCTAGTGGTACGTGGAGGAATCTGACATATAACAAATATTAAAAAAAAATATATTACATTTTTATTTTTATTTTTTTTACTTAAAGGATCATGCTATATTTGAATAATATATTGTAGGGCCATACCTATATAAGGTATATTTATAAGTTTTCTTTTTCAAAATATCTAACAGATCATGCATTTTAGCCGTGCCTCATTTCGCTCTATTTTCCTCTCCTCCACCCTGTCTTTGGCTGCAGCTGACCACGCCCCCCTGCAAAGGAGGGGGCCGAGTTAAGAGCGTCATGTTACCATGCTGTTACCATGCCACGGCAACCTCTCATTCCCCTGATTAGTGGAGAGTTGGCCATATAGGCGGAGCTCCTCGTCACTGACGTCAGACTATTTTCAAAAGATAAAATCTCAATGCGGGATCTGTAACAGATCCCATTTTTAGAGATTTTGGGTATGGAGGAAAAGAGAGAGGGTTGTGTTTTCTGACACTTAGTGAGTTCCCTGACACAACGGTGACACATATTCATGTATAAAATACGTACAAAGGTGCGTTTTGCATGATAGGTCCCCTTTAAAGGTGGGGTAGGTAATTTTGGAGAAACCAGCTTGAGTGCGCAAGAATTTGAAAATACGCAACCGGAAAAAATCCGCCACTTCCTTACAGAGCCCCTCCTCCAACACACACAAATGCGCACATGACCAATGAGGGCACAAGATAAGTTTGTGCACAGATGGAAGGCTGACAGGCAGGTAGGCCATCCAGTTATTTTAGCCGGGCCGGCTCAGATGATTGGTCGTGCTTTTTACAGTAGTACGGCTTCCACAGATCATTTTTTATGTATTGTCAAAACATCCAGATATTCATTGCCATACAGGGATGTTAAAGACATTCCATGGAATCGTAACAAAAAAAAAAAGGTATCTTGAGCCGGATTCTCAACACTTACCTAACCCACATTAACATAAACATAACACAGACATATACAATACAGAACACAACTAAAAACAAAGCAAAAGCAGTCACTCATTGTGCACATTTGGGCATTAGGTACAATACTTATTACTGCGACAGCAGCTGGATGGAGACCTCAGAAACTTCAATTTAAAACAG